ATATTTACTAACTATTTTTTTACATTAACGGTCTATGGAGTTGAGACGAAAGCCTACAGCTGTAGAGCTACACGTGCATACCCATAAACGACAGTCAGACCATACATGGGTTTGCAAAAATCTAAGCCGACATACGTAAGTGACAAAAGTAATTGTTACACAATTCAAATTATTCTTAAATTTAACTTTGCCCCTAACTATCTTTTATAATTTTTTTTGTAGGAAATCTTTGAGCAGCTGAAGCAAATGTAGACTCAAAGCACAGGAGGACATACAATCCCGGGTCGTGATCAGTACGACTATGAGCTGTGGAGAGAGGCTGCTGAAGGCAAGATGAAAGGAAGGGTCTCTGGATTGGGTTTAAAGGCACAAGCATACGATGCTCATTGCTTCTCTACTGTATTCAATGCATTTACTTCTACCGTCTATGATGATGAGATTCGTAGGCAAGTTCCCATATTCATTGCTAATATAAAAACCCAATTGGCTACCCACTCACCAAAATGAAGTCTAAATTGGTGGCTACAATGAAAACTGAATTAGATGCATTGCAACAGGAAAACCAGAGAGGGAAACAACTAGTAGAGAAGGATGATGAGGGGATGGAAGAGGATTAGGACCATTTTTGTTTAATTTTATTTTATTAGCCATCCGAAAATATTATTCTTAAGTACAAAATATTTTAATTTTTGGTTCACTTCCTTGTGATTATTTCTATATATAATTTATGCATTCATTCATGTAGTTTTAGTTTAATGACTACTTAGATTGGTAAATTAGATTGTGTGATATAATTGGATTTTTATATGTGTCATGATTTTCGGTTTAGAAATTGTAATGAAAGAACGAAGCCTCATCATTTTTTTAATATGTATGCTTTTTAACGGCTTTCTACTGATTAAGCAACGAGCTATCATTTTTTCATGAACTAACGGCTAATGGCCTTTAGTTCTTAGACCGACGGCTAACCGACAGTCAAGTGATGAGCTATTAAAAAAACAACGACCTGTCATGTGGGTTACAAAACCAATTGAGTTAACAGAGAGCAACTGGTGTTTTTTTTTTTTTTTTTTTTTTTAACAACTCTTGTGACTGGTACTTTTTTAATTTCACCAACAACCTTTGACCATGAGTAATAGCTTGAATTCATACACTGAAGGGCAACTTTAGGACCCAAAATTGCTTACAATGACATATTTCCTGCTATTTTTGTTTATTATCTTTTTCTTGCAATACAATTAACTCTGGTTTTGTGGATTGTATGTTTAATGTTGTCATGAACTAAATTAATTTTCTCTAGAGTAACTAATAATTTAATAAAATAGTTAGATTGTTGTGTTTTTATTTCTCAAAGTTGTTTATGTATCTTACACATTGTTTAGTTAAGCATATGACCAATGTTCAATCTGAAAAATCTAATGTATAAAAGTACTGAAAGAGTTATTTGATGCTTGAGGAAGTTATATTAACAAGTATTAGTTGGGATAAGAATAAACTCAAATAAACTAATTTTTCTACTCTAATTCACTGAAAAATATGGTGAATTAATCGACAAGGTTAAAAACTCAAATTTATGGATATAAAAAGATAAAAAAAATAAAATAGCTCTTAATTGGCAATTACATTTATTAATATAAAATAAACTATGAATTAAGTATAGTAAGTTTTGATGAACCATAAATTCAAAATTATCTCTCTCTTGTCCTTGAATCTGGAATTTAGCATCGCAGCGTAATTTAAGCAAATACTCTAGTTGTCATTTTTATATTCTCTTGCAATTGTTGGATAAGAATTTAAGGTAATATAAATTAGTGCTTAGCTTATAAAAACTTTCATTGTAATAGTTATGGGAATGATGCTCTACTCATGTCATATTATATGCACAACACTTGCATTTGCGTATATCATTTTAAAATGCTTATCTACTTATCTCACCATGATGAAGCCTAATATCTACTAGCCATCACCATCTGGCTCATGCTTTTCTAGTTGTTGGTCTCCTTCCATTAACAATCGAGCATACCACCGACAACAAACTAGCATACCACTGACTATTTCCCAGCACTTCACATTCTCAATCAATCATTATTTGATACATGCCAATATTTGAAGTCTATTAAACATTGTTGTTCAACTCATGTCTTCATAAGCACTGATCTCCTATCCTACGACACAAATAATTAAGCAAACTATCAACTATCACCCAACATTTGTTATTCGCAATCAACCATCACCAGATAACTATCAATATCTTATGTCAATCAAATAGAGATAACACGCACTGTCTTCTTGACTGCCTGGTCTCTCCTACTATAAGGAAAGTAATATGTATGGGTATCAACTCAGGATCGTGGGTCGTGTTTCGGTCTAATTCAATTTGACTCGATCCCAAATTGTTTGACCCGAACTCAACCAAATATTAAATGGGTCAGAAAGTCCAACTTGAACCTGACACACCCTCAACTTATCGAACCTAACCTGATGTATATAACCCGTTTAACATAAGGTAACATAGTTATTCAGGTTAATTTCGGGTTGGCAAGTCAACCCAACCAGACATGAAAAATTAAAAGTGTTCGAATATCTATACAAACCCGACCCAAAAATTATTTAGGTTAACCATAACCTAAATTTTTCGAGTTCGGATTAAGTTGACGTATGAAGTCAATATTTAATACCCCTAGTAATCAGGATGCTCGCTCACCATCGCCTGATAATAGAATGAACATCTTAAGACTGAAAGACACCTTTCAAGATTCATATATACTATTATATACCAATGTCCTCATCAATTATAAGAAATGACATCATACATAAGATATAACACTTATAGAATCATTTCAACTATGTCAAACTCTATGATTTATTATTTTCCCAAATTTTTCAAACAAAAAACTTATATTTATGTGTTGAATTTTTATCCAATACTAAAATAATAAACTCTCTACATTACTGGGAATGTTCTCACACACAACAAAGACACCAAATCATGCCATTAATTGTTTCTACTTGGTAATAGCTTGCTAGAGTTCGAGCTTGTAATTGCACACGTATTTTTAGATGTGTTTAATTGGTTATAGGTACATAAATAAAATAATTTGTATGGCAAAAAATTTGATCAATCTATCTAGTGATAATATATATTTAGCATTTCTATGAAATAGGTATTTTTGACTTGTGCACACCTTTACATTATATGATTTTATTAGGATGATAACATATTCGGTAGAACACCTATAATCTCCTCTGAAATCATCTAAAGCATAATTTTATTTGCAATTATAGATAATCCGAATTATATTTACACTATGGCTCCATTTGGGGCAACTTATCCGCTATCGTCTCATCGTTTGAAAACAGCGTTTGAGCAACTTATTCGAAAACACAGATTGTTTTTTACACTAAACGCGGAACGCGGGTTGCATCTCGTGATCCGCATTTCCAGATAAGCGGCTTATCTGGATAAACACAAATTGCCCCAAACACGCCCTATATTTTAAGTTCTTACACTCCAAAAAAGTATTGGATAAGCAGTAGTCTGCCTCAAATTGAATAAAAAGCGACAAAATGTCGCCGTTTCAGATTTTACAAATAATACTGCAACCCTCGAAAAAAAAAAAAAACTTCCAAAACATAAATTGAAAATCATTGGAGTATATTAAGGCAGCATCCAAAGTTCATTGGCAAAATCAAAACATTAATTATGTATGTACGTTACATATCATATAGATAATTAGGTAGCAGACATGAAAAATTAAACGTGTTCGAATATCTATCCGAACCTGACCCAAAAATTATTTAGGTTAACCATAACCTAGATTTTTCGAGTTCAGATTGATTTGGCGTATGCAGTTAATATTTAATACCCCTAGTAATCAGGATGCTCGCTCACCATCGCCTGATAATAGAATAAACATCTTAAGACTGAAAGACACCTTTCATGATTCATGTATACTATTATATACCAATGTCCTCATCAATTATAAGAAATGACATCATACATAAGATATAACACTTATAGAATCATTTCAACTATGTCAAACTCTATGATTTATTATTTTCCTAAATTTTTCAAACAAAAAACTTATATTTATGTGTTGAATTTTTATCCAATACTAAAATAATAAACTCTCTACATTACTGGGAATGTTCTCACACACAACAAAGACACCAAATCATGCCATTAATTGTTTCTACTTGGTAATAGCTTGCCAGAGTTCGAGCTTGTAATTGCACATCGTATTTTTTAAATGTGCTTAATTGTATATTTTTGACTTGTGCACACCTTTACATTATATGATTTTATTAGGATGATAACATATACGTTCAAACACCTATAATCTCCTCTGAAATCATCTAAAGCATAATTTTATTTGCAATTATAGATAATCCGAATTATATTTACACTATGGCTCCATTTGGGGCAACTTATCCGCTATCGTCTCATCGTTTGAAAACAGCGTTTGAGCAACTTATTCGAAAACACAGATTGTTTTTTACACTAAACGCAGAATGCGGGTTGCAACTCGTGGTTCACGTTTCCAGATAAGCGGCTTATCTGGATAAACACAAGCTGCCCCAAACATGCCCTATATTTGAAGTTCTTACACTCCAAAAAAGTATTGGATAAGCAGTAGTATGCCTCAAATTGAATGAAAAGCGACAAAATGTCATCGTTTCAGATTTTACAAATAATACTGCAACCCTCAAAAAAAAAAAAACTTCTAAAACATAAATTGAAAATCATTGGAGTATATTAAGGCAGCGCAGCATCCAAAGTTCATTCGCAAAATCAAAACATTAATTGTGTATGTACGTTACATATCATATAGATAATTAGGTACACAACCAAACAAATAGAGGAAAACTTCGATGTTTAAAACAGCTAAATTAAGGTAGAACAGAACCTTCAGCCAAATAAAATCAAAGCGACTAAAATGAAAGCGAGAACGCTACTGCCAATTTCATCATTAGATACTGAGATGATCATCATAAAAGGCTGTTCATAAATGGAATAAATTGCATTAACCAATAAATTTACTGCAGCGGAATAATTAAGTGTAATAAGCTTTTCACCAAAAAAAAATGGAAAGATACTGTTAAAATATGGAGAATCTCCATAAACTATACATTAGGCAACATAAGCATCCAAATTCATCAAAATCTCAGCTTGTACCATTGAACCGAAGTAGCATTCCTAAGACTATAATTTGCAGATATTATTTTTTCTCATCAATAGTATATTTCCTGCTATTGTTGATCCTGCAGTCCCAACAAATCCCAGTGAGGCACAACTACATACAATTTCCTCAATGTATAATAGAATATTTTTTAACAATGCCTGACCACAAACTTTACTCTTGTTCACCATGCTAATATTCCTTGGAAGAAAGCCAGACTTCAAGCAATGTTCTGCTGCCACAACTCTCTTTGCAGCCTGCACCACCCGCTCATCGCTTTCAGTCAAGGTATACAGCTTGAAGGATTTGATATCATTTCCTATATCTTCCGGGTAAGTTCCGGTCCAGTTTCCGTTGGGAAGATCTGTCATCATAAAAATATGAATCAAGCCATTATCATTGTTTCCCTCACGTTCCGACTGTCTTCTCTGCGAGTGCTGAGAAGGTAGCCTTCCAATGGTTCCTAAACCGTCCATCTAGTAATCTTAGCTGCGCGCATAGAAACGGTTCCTTAATCAGGTTTTGAGCTATTTCTTTTCCAGCAGCTATTAGCTCAGGAGTAAATGGAAGGAACTTTACATCCTTAAGCAGGGACTGTATTCGAGAATCTCCAGGTGCTTGGTGAATATCAATGTAAAGCTCTGAATTTTTGTACGGTGATGTGAAAAGGCTCCCAAAAGCGAGAACCTTGGCCATCTCAGCTTTAGAGCCAGGACCAAAGGCCTTGTACAAATCTCTGCGCCTCCTGACATAAGAAATTTTCTTTCGTTTCTGTAACTGGTTGTCATGCTGGAACGAATCCAAGGTTCCATCATTACCTCGTTGGTAAGTCCAGACTGTGGTCCTACAATCTTCCTTCACAGCATGAAAACACTGGTTTGTATTACTATGCAAACCAGACAACACAAACCTACAGTAATTGACGTTGTTTGAAGTAGTAGACATAGCACAGCATAGATCCCCATGGCAAGTTCCATCCATGTTTAAGCCACACCAAAGTGAAGCAAAGATCCAAAAATCAATTATTTTAAGGGTCATGGGTGACACTGAAGACAAATCTACTATATCAGCCATTGAGATGTACCTGAAAGGATTCCAAAAAATATCAAGTACTTGAATGACAATCACATGCAAACAAATCTTCTGGGAAAAAACAAAGGGAGTAAGCTTCCAATCCATACAGAAGAGAAGACAAAATACTAACAGCAAAAAAGAATAATGATTTAAAAAACAAATTGACCGCATAATTCTTCTCAATTGATAAAGATTGGAGACAATATAGCCGTCGCACACTTTTGTATTTACCTATCTAACACCTATATTTTTATATTTACATTTATGGTATTTTGATGTCATAAAGATATGCATGTATTTCAGTTTGAAAAAGTAAAATAATAGCGATATGTTTATGCATGTTAAGGATGATGATGCTATCTATGAAAACATTGAAGTTTAGGTGTAAGATATGTAAATGCATAAGAATTGCATGGTATGCATGTAAATGTCCCAAAAAATAAATAAATAACGGATTCAAAGAAAGGAAAAAAGGAAGGCTTTCTGTGAAATAGGAAGAGGTGTAAAATTAGAGGGCATCTATATCTTTAAAGGTTCCAGGAAAGTGCGGGAGTAAATGGGTAAATAAATAAATCTCTGAAGTTTGCAAATGGTGGAAATTGAATAGAACTTATAATTTAGATTATAAAGGTAACCGTATTATTATTAATAAACTTTTCAATGGATAAACTTTGGTTATAATAATAAATTTATAATGGAAAACAATTTCGGTGAGAATATCTGATTAAATTTTGATTATGTTTCTGCAAGTTGCATGATTGTCTAATTGATCAAGCCATCATTAGAAGTGCCTCCTTCATGGTGGATGTTAGCACAACGAATCACACTTTAAGCGTGATTCTCGAGATACATCAGCTTGGAGAACAAAAAATTGCATTTTAAAATGTAGTGTGGCAATCACTTTGGCATTTCATATTAGATAATTCACTAGATCTGCATTGCATCTCACCTTGGAGTTCTTAAGATTGTCCTCATTCTTCAACTCACAGCTTAGAAAGCAGTTACATTTCATCAGAAGATGAAGTCTGTGATTCTAGGTTTCAATTTTCTCAAAAAAGTGCATCACAATTCTAACACTAACTCCAACATAACTGAGAGCAAATTTGCAACCAAAGTAATAAAATTAGGCAAATATTTTCGGACTACGGATAAAAGTGCACTCCATATCAAGCAATGTTGCTAGAACATTAAAGTTCTTCAAAAATACAAAAAACAAGTCTAGTTGAGCTATTATAAAAGACTAGTTGAGCTATTACAAAGCAAATAGCTGTGTACCTGGCTGATTCTGTTAATGCTTCAAAGCAAATATCAATTAGCATATTACAAGTGTATAGATATTAACAAATAAATTTTAGTATAAAAGAATAAGTAGTAAGCATATGAAAATCAAAGTGGGGAAAGAAGAATTCAATTTGGGGATAGGCTCAACTGTAAACTTTCTATTCTCGATAATCCCAAAGGTAACCAAAGCGACAAAGTCTATATATATCATTATCAATTAAAAGTCACCAACAAATCATTCTAGAATCGGGAAATTCTAATCCCTGCCACTTAATCGGTGAGTGAACCTGTAAGTAGTATCTGAACTTTTAAAAGTGGAGTATCTGTATGTAGTATCTGAACTTTCAAAAATGTAGCATTTGTTGTTAGTTCACAAATTTCATAAGGGCGGGGATAGAATTACCAACGACTCAAAGGGTGAAAAGGGCGTCTTTAATTGATTATTGATTAAAAGATTTCAGCTATAAAGAAAAGCTGAGAATAATTTTTGGATCATCGCCTATTAGCCCAAAACCATCCAACTTATAGCCTCGCTCGATAATCCATATAAATGTCCAATCATAGGAAGAGAAGAAAAGGAGTAGTATTCAATTTATAATTTAAGTCGACCTCAAAACGTGTCACAGGATTCAATCCTTAAGTATGCAAATATATGTAGAGGTTGAGAAGCATGTCTGTAACTACGTTTTAGAATTCGTATGTGATTTAAGGGTATGTAAATGCCTTGACGATTAAAAAAAAGCTTTGCTCATATATATATATATATATATTTATAAAGAGAGAAAGAATGCAAAGTGAGAGTATGTTCATATTACATGAGAGATTTAGATGCATCCGACCTCAATTTGTGCATGCTTACCATCTCACCTTTGTATAACATATAATAAAACTTGTATCAGTACTCTCTACAGATTTCCACCAATACATTTCATGCAACCAAAAGCCGATTTCATGAAAATCCAAGAATGATAATTAAATCAGCACATTTCAAGAGTTTCAATTCATGCATTTATTACAGCCGAAAGTTAACCTTAGCATGCAGACAAAGATAACAATTAAATCGACCCACTACAAAGAGCTCAATTCATGTACGCGATATCTCCGAAGGTAAACTCCAGCAGGCTATAAAGTTGCTAATTAAATCAGTCCGCTAAACAACTCAATCCATATGTCTCATGTAGTTGAAAATTGACTTCAACAAAATCATAGGATTACTTAAACATTATGAAACAAAAGAATCCAAACACTATACTACTTTTGAATCTGTAATTATTTTAAGTAAGATTCAAATAGTCATCAAATGAAAACTTATCTTTTATGAGCTTATAATATCATCAGAGCTTAATGGAAAAGAAGCTCATACCTGATCGTCACCCCCAAGCGTCACAAAGGAAGCAAATATTCATTCCAATCCCGCAGCTCAAGAGGATTTGAGCTGTATAAACGTTAACAAGAAAAATGAGGTTTAGCTCTTAAGTATATAAATACATAGGAATTAAATGGTATGTATGTAAATCTCCCAAGTAGAATTCGTCCATCTCAATAATTGCCACATGGGTTGCTTGATAATTAACGCCCCGAGCCATCCTCATGCCTTCGCCTTTATTTGGAATATAGCTGCTATGAATTATCTCTATGTTTTATATAGTGATATGCATGTAAATGTTTCTAGAAAAAAAAAAGTATTAAGGCCAAGCAAGGATCATTGAAATGATAACAGAGAAAAGACGATTTCATAACTAACATCCAACAATTCTTAATCAAAGCGGACAAGCCTCCTTACGCTTATATATTAACACAACACATAAACTTTGCTTTTCACATTTCCACCAACCAAAGTATGGAATTTTCAATTTTTTCACAACTGAATTCCCCTCTATCGAAAACATTAACAGAATATGTATATCACACAACTCTTATATATTTACATGGCTAACACCTAAACTCATATTTATAACACTCAAGTCTCTCAAAACATATCAAAAGATTAACAATATGACTTCTCGTGCATGAGTATAAGGATGCAAATGTAAAGAAATTAAAGCACAGGGTTAGACATGTAAATACTCGAGGATTTGAAATGGTATGTATGTGAATCCTTCCAATTAAAACATCTTGCAACGCACACCACAACCGATAAGCCATAAAGACTCCAAACATTATCCACATTGAAGCTATAACTATTTTAAATATGCTTCTCATAGAAATCATAGAACATAGATATGGTTTCCCGTTTGAAGGTAAAACAAATAGTTAAAAAAATAAATAAATAAATAAATAAAAGGCACAAGAAAGATGCTATGCACATAGAAGAGCTTTCCCGGCTAGCTCTAATCTCAACTGCATCATTAGGATTTCGGTGTTAAATCCTGTTGCCTCCCCAAAAGACTCGTAAAATTTGCCTTTTACATTTATATCACCAAGATGTTCCATGTCACAAAAAAAAAAAAAAAAAAAAAAAAAAAAATTTTAGGGGTTAGTGTTAAACAGCCTGGATAGCACGGCCATACGAGGGAAGTCACTGCTTTTGCAGGTTAACGCTGAATTGCGGATCAGCGGATCTGCTTTGATGTGGAATGGTGATGAATCTGAGCCCTCCAACTCCCCCTTTCTTTTCTAACCTTTTCTCTTAAGAGGTTGTCTATTTTTCTGTGTAAATACATAAGTAATTCTGCATCCTACGGGGGTGTTTGGTGGCAGGAATTGAGCAGGGTTTAGCCTAAATCATGTAGGAATTAAAGATGTCCTTTTTGCCGTTTGCAAGTATTTAAGCTGAAGTCTGCAATGAAACAGCCCATATTCTCATTTCCCTCTCAAGAATCAGAAAAAAATAAAATAAAAATGCGTTACAAAAATAAGGCAGAAAATACTGGCTATCATTCAAAACGTCAGGAAAGAGAAATAATCATAATAAATGCTGGACAGAGTTAACCCAAACAAACACAAAAAAAAAATGGAAAGACAATGAGAAGCCAAAAGCAAAGATTCGGTCCATTCCACCTCGAAGAAGATCCACCCATTAAAGGAGTGATGCAGCGACTGCCTAAAGATACAGGAGTCATCCTATCCTAGTTGCTCAATTCCATCATAACAATATGAACAAAAAGAAAAGCATCAATATATCTGAATCACTATAAAATATCATTGGCCATAAAGAAAAGAGTAAGAGCATGCCACTCTATCTTTTAAGTTGTATTAAAGTAGAAAGGAAAAGCTGAGTCCCAAATTAAGATTCGCCTTAGTTCAATCAGAAAGCTTATACCCACAAGTTCTCAACCAAGGACGCATGCTGAGTCCCAAATTAAGATTCGCCTTAGTTCAATCAGAAAGCTTATACCCGCAAGTTCTCAACCAAGGACACACGGATGCAGAGATTACCTATGGAAGCATAGGCCATCCAAGCCACGCCATCGCTATTGCAAGAAATAAATAGGGATTTCAAAAGAACTACGATGAATATAATCATCATTGCCTAATCACACACGCACAAATTCTCACATATTAACCAATATAATACAAGCTTTTACTCTTTTACATTTACACTACCCAAATCCTTTATCTCCCATGAAAACACCACCAATTTTGCTTTTAAAAAGCGATATACAATATTCCATGCATACATAAGATGACATGTATATAAAATTTAAGGTTTAGGTGTGAAATGTAATAAATGAGAATTGTGTCATGTATGTAAATTTCCCATATGACTCGGGCAATCCAGACTTCATATGAGGAAAGTAATTTGTAGGGGTATCAAATCAGGTTCATTGTATGTGTTTGGGTCTGGCTCAAAATTGACTCGATCCCAAATTGTTTGACCCGAACTCAACCAAAATATTAAATGGGTGAGAAAGTTCAACCCGATCTTGACCCATCCTCAACTTGTCGAACCTAACCTGACATGTATAACATAAGGTAAAATAGTTATTCAG